GTCAGAAAACCACTTATTTCAGCCAAAAACTGGTGAGACCAATTAAAATGGTGCAAAAGGCACCAAGAATGGACAGATGAACAATGGAAAAAAGTCATTTGAAGTGATGAATCTCGGTTTACACTGTTTCAAAGTGATGGCAGAACTCGGGTATGGAGACTCCCAAAAGAGAAATATGATGTTAACTGTGTTGTTCCAACAGTTAAGCATGGTGGTGGAGGGGTAATGGTATGGGGTTGTTTTACATGGGACTCTTTAGGTCCTCTGGTCAGAGTTAAAGGAATAATTAACAGTCAGAGATATATAGACATTTTAAATGCACATTTAATAGATTTTATGGAAGGGCTTGAAGGGGAAATTGTTGATTATGAATTTCAACAAGACAATGCTTCAGTCCATAAAAGTAAGTTGACAATGGCATTCTTTGAAGATTCAGACATAAATCTGATGAGATGGCCAGGACAGAGCCCTGATCTTAACCCCATTGAACATCTGTGGGATGAGCTTGAATGACGCATTAGACAACAGGACCCACCACCAACATCTGAGGAACACAAGACTAATTATTTGTCTCCAAATTGGTAAGATACTGGCTGAAATTCTTCAAGAGGAATGGGAGAAAATTCCAAACACTATATTTCAAAATCTAATTTTAAGCATGAAACATAGAGTAAAAGCAGTTAGACATGCTAAAGGTTATGCAACCAAGTACTAATAAAATTTTTATTATTTTTTTTTTACAAAACTATGCTTGAATACTATTCCTCCGCATGGGTTACTAAATTTTTGCCGTATTTTTACATAATAAACGTTATAATTTTATTTCTCAGCAACTAAGCAAACAACAGCGTAAAATTTTTTGTATTTGATTAAGACGATCAAATACATTCAAATGAATATTAATTTGTCTAGTGTTATAACATAAAATTTTTTTATGCATATTTTTAAACGTTTGGTTTGCGAAACATAATTTATCGATTTTTAGTTAGATAATTGTAGGCATAAGCAAACTCAAAATCGTACATATTAATGTGCAGCGAAATTTTACAAGAATGTAGATTAGAAGGTGCGCAAATAATGGCTAAAATTTCATTTTGTTTGGATGGTTGACTGTAGTGTTATGCGCGATCGACGAAAAATTTAAGGGGTGGTCGGAGACTTTTGACGTACAGGATTTGCGGGCTATTATTTGAAAAAGCCAAATATCATGAACCATCGATACCTACCGTGACTTATGGCCGCGTGCTGGTTGATTTTATACTATCTGACCGTGTGTTATGTAGGCTATGGTCGCGTGCTGCATGTAATTCCTTTGGTTCAAGACGTATTGGCTTCTAACTGTTAGTTTTGAGGTTCTGGGATCGCATGTAAGACCTAGTGTGTACATGAACCATTAACTTCAAATTGGAATCCACAAGGGATGATCACAAACATGAACTGTGCATTAAGTGCGTTCGGGTTTTTCATTTTGGAGAGGACTTGAACCAACATTCGAATATATTTTATGGCATAAACACCGGAACCAGATACTGAGAGTTCGTCCATGCGAAGAAGAAACTGATGAAGCTGACAAGCAAGCAATCTACTCTTTCAGTTTCAGATGATGTTGAGACATTTAAATCATTAGTCCACAGTGAAACTCGATATAACGGAGTTTTTCATGAAACACTAATAAATATATTAGATATACGGAGATCAGGTGCAAGTAATAAAAAAAACTGATCAACCAATCTAATTGAACCAATTTATTTTGATCACAAAGATTTGGGGATCGTTTCAAACAGTGATGGACCCTCCAAAGATAGACTTTTATTGTGTTGTTGTGGTGATTACAGGTGGTGCTGTGTTTGCTGTTGCTATCCTCGTTATGTTCATTTGGTTATTAGACGGTGGTAGGGTAAAACTAACTCTATAATATTACGTCGTGCGTAGTGGCACTTTGTACTGTGCAGATGCTTTATAGACTCAAACTATGACAGAGGCTGCAACCGCAGGTGGTAGTAATAGAGAAGACGGAAACTATTACTATGTAATAGTAATAATAAGGGGTCGAATTTCAAAATCTGGAGTCTGATCTACATGAAGTAGCCCCTAATATTAAATAACTTAAATTTGCTGTAGTGAATGATTTTACTAATGTACTTAGAATAAAAACTACTACCATTTTGTGTAACCAGACCAAATACCATCATTTTGATAGTCCAGTCCCCATATCATAATAAGCTATGCAGTACACTCGTCGATATTTGTTCTTTCATCGAATGGAATTCAAACAACTGGCTAGCCATTATAAAACACCTTCTTAACACTAAGCTCTTCATCTTCCTCCTCCGCACTAATACCCCTTATCGTATCGACTATATCAGGACACAAAATCTGTTATATCGAGCTAAGCTAAATTAAATATGTTCGGGCAAATTAGTCCGGGTGTCTTGGTATGTTTCCTGATAAAAAAATACTCCCAAGGCCGACTAATTGTTAAAATTGTTTTTAGTCATATGTTCTGATACATCATATGTTCGCCAATAGTGAAACATTTATGTATTGTGTAATAATTGGCACAACATACATACATAGATACAATCATAATAAATCCGCTAAGTCAAAATGACATGATATATATACACACACACCCCTGCCAAAGTATAAATACGGTACATGTTATAGTAAAACATAAAATATTGAAATTTTCAACTGTACTACATATAGCCACAACTTCGCTATAGTAAAATTCCCCCCTTTAGTCACTTATGGATAAACGTGATCAACTGATAATAATAAACTGTAAACATGTATTATATTATCTGCCAAACGCAAACTCTGTTGGATGTAACGTGAGAGCACGGACAGACTTTGTGTAACTCGGTATTAATATGAAAAAAAAAAGCAGGAAAGCGAACGTCTATCAGTGACTTGTGACTATTAGCAACTGAAGAGAATCTATGGTTAAGGCTGATGCTATGCTGGAATCTGAGATTGTACTCTCAGCTACTGATTATCGTAAGCTCTCCAAAATAAAAAAGATTTATGTCGATTAATTAAGCATGTAAAACTTTTTATCTTCTGTATACTTACATGTAATATTATTATTAATGATGATACCAAATAAAAATCTAGCAATAATTGCTTTTTTCTTACCTCATTAGTGTCCGCTTCAGATATATCCCTATTCCGATATTTTTGCAGTCCCAAATTCCCATATCATATTATTATCATGCCCCGGTTATATCCCTTATTTACTGTCGCACAAATCTACTAATTTACTATCATTATTATGATGATGAGAGTATTACTATTACTACTATTACACAACTGTCTATTTTTACGTCCTGTACAACTTTTCCCCGTTGTTAAAATAATTAGCAAAAATATCAAAACGATCAAGTTATCTTTAACTTTTAGCAAACCAGACACGTTTAAGCAAAAGCATAATTTTTCAAATATTAATATATATATAAGGCTAAACGCCAAACTTCATTAACCGAATTCGCACCAACAAAAATTCACATGCAAATTTTGCATTTCCCTTTCCTAATCAGGTTTGACATCCCAATTCGACAAGTCTATATACTATACAACATGTCTCTAAGGTAGCGTTCAATTGTCTCAAATTTTGTGCACTACGATAGATAGTACACATATTTATATTAATATCGACTTGTATAATAGGCTTGTGCTGGGATGTCAAACCTGATTAGGAAGCGTTCGTAAACATCGTCCATATAGGAAATGCAAGTTTTCATTGGAGTCAATATCACAACAAAGACATGGCAGGTCGATTTACATATGTGTAACATATAGACTAACACTTGGCGGGCACTATGTGCGCATCGAAACACATAATGCCCCTACTTTTGTTCATTTCTAAATTTGATCGGGGCAATTCAGTGAGCTTATCATGTGGGCTTCAAATAACAGAAAATTGGATTACTTTAGTATAAAATATTAGTTTACTAAGTTGAATATTCATGTATGAATGAAAGTTAGCTGCACCCTAAATATTTTATAAAAAGGCTTAACAGATATTGCAGCTTTATATACAATTTGGCCATTAGTATTAATCAACCATAATTATTATAAAATTGGTACTGCAAAGTACTGCAAATTTATTTTTATTTAGCAAGATGGAAAGAATTTGCCAAATCATAACGCGCAATTTATATATTAATATAGTTTGTTCATAACGTATTATCCATTTAAAGAAACAATCAGCCCTGCCAATAGAGAGGGCAAAGTGCCTGATCTCCATTGTACAGCCTTCGTGCAGGATTAGGATGTAGGATATGGATCCTCTGTAACAATAATGTCAGCAGAGTTTTCAATCAAATTAAGGAGAAGGTTAAAGACAGGATTGAAGTAAGCAACAGAGTGTCATTCATGATACAGGGAGTTACAGGACATCTCAACAAAAGTACATGTCCATTGTGATTTGATAGAAGAAATGGAGTTTGGAACCTGAATATCCTAGGCATAAACTTCATGTTTGAATATAATGCCATGGGTGATCAAAAGTATTGGTCACTCCTTGAAATTTACTATTACTAATAAAACATATGAAAATTTTTATTTTTTTCTAAAGTCTTGATTGTACGTATTAATTAGTCGTTAATATGTAAATCGCAATGATTTTGGTACCGTTATGAAGATAATTGTATTTTTTCGAAAAAATAGTGACTCTTTTAGTTCCCTTATCCTTCTAAAGTAGTCAGTCATTCAAAGAAGTTGGCTGTTGTTATGTTACACATATGATAGCACATAGGAAACATATATGCTGTCACTTCATCGAATGGCTACTTTAGAATGATAAGGAAACTAAAAGAATCACTATTTTTTTCGGAAAAAATACTGTGATTTACATGGTAAATACGTACAATCAAGACTTTAGAAAAAAATATGTTTCATATTTTTATTAGTAAATTTCAAGGAGTGATCAATACTTTTGACCACCTACTGTATGAAAGGAAGAGCTAGTCATAGTTATAGTACCCTTAGAAGTCAAGATGCAAATAGACCAGAACAGTAGTTGGCTATGTGAAATAGAGAAAGAACCCAAGAACTTTACCTGTATACAGGAAATATGCCAGAAGATGTTTACCCATGTAAGAAGTGTAAAAAATAAAGCAGATAAGGAAGATTTGAGTCAGTATATCAAAGAAAAAGAAGAGGCCCATGCAAGTGGTGCAGTGGAAAGAGCCTATGATTTATACCCAAAAGGAGCTCAGTTGAAGCCTAACAGTCAAGTAGTAGTAGTCAAGGAAAATCTAGCCTTGGGAAAAGTAGGTGACAATTGGACCAAATACCATCCAGAGTGGAGACCAACAAAAGCTAGAAGATTCATAGACAGCAGAATAGAGAGGAATGTTTGTAGATACTCCAGAAGGATCAATGCATATGCACAGTTGACCCAAACTAAACACACCTACCAAGTTGAAATACCTTATGCTCACAAATTGTGACAAGTCACTTGTGTGGTCCAGGATGAAGGATGCCAAGTAGATGACAACTATGTTGAATGGAAGGAGGTGAAGAAGTTTCAGCAGGAAATGACACGATGACTAAGATATCAGCAATAGTCCAAGTCAATGCTAATACTGCGTTCCCTAAACTAAAACCATGAAAGAAGAAGGGAATTTAGAAGCTCGAAAATGGACACCTCAGACTACCCTATACCTCAGTACATTAAGGATTTATCCTCTACTCCAATGAAGACACAATAGTTAGTGGTCAATGGTATGTCTCAACTGAATAGAAAATTGTAATGGTCAGCTCAGTAGAAAACACCTCTTACTCTGGCCATAATGCTAATAGAAACACAAGGCCGAATCAGAGTCCCAGTTATTTCAATCTATGGATCCAATCAATAGCAAAACTTACCTTCATATCAATACCAATTAACTAGTCACTACTGGATATATAAAATGAAGAGTTTATATCGCAGACCACACGCTAAAGCAGAAATAAGAAAGGCTCAACATTAATACAGACCTGAATTCGAAGGCATTACCCTTTGCTATCGCATCACCTGTTGTAGTAGTTGGCAAGAAGGATGGAAAGCAAGAGATTTTGCATGGATTATCGGAAGCTGAACGCCATTACAGAAGTGAATGCATACCCTGCCAATTATTGATGAAATATTCTCTAACATAAATAAGGAAAAAGAATCATATTAGCCTACATCATATTATCGAGGGATCATTATATCGAGAGCCACTGTGTAGTAGTGACAAGTAAATGTTGTCTTGTGTTCAGAGTCAGGGTGCATTGGGACTTGCCAGTAGCTGCTAGGGCTGTAAAGTACTTAGACTGAGTTCCCGGCCCAACTTAGAATTGGGCTCGATATAATGAAGATTACTTATAAGTAAAACGATCTCGATATAATGAAGTTCGTAAATCATCACCATAATTGGTAAACATTTTATCGAGCAAGAAATCATATCAATTAAATTAATATTAAACCAATTAATCAAGACTTCTCATTCTCGCAACAATTAAAAGACATATGAACAATAAAAGTACGGTTAGCAAAAAACCTGCAATAAAGCGAGTTTCTCTAACGGGCGTTCAAAAAAGAGATTTGTGTTTAAAAAAGAAAGCTCATCCTAATTTGACTCATGCAACGCTTGCTAAACTGTATGGAATTAAAGAAAATACTGTCTCTACCATTCTCAAAAATGCATCGTACTGGCTGAATCTAGACGAAAGTTTTTCCTTAGCGAAGAGAAAACGCGAACTGCCGCATATCCTGTGATTGGAGAAGCTCTTTATACGTGGTTAGAACACGCAAATCAAGTTTCCCAGGTCATATCCGGTCATATTTTGCAAAAAAGCGAAAGCTTTTGCAACTCTGGCAAATATCGATAATTTTAATGCATCAGGTGGCTGGCTTTCGAACTTTAAAAGCGTTATAATCTTCGGCGTACAAACAAAGAGGCGCTCCGATTGACGATCTTCCTCAATTCCGTGACGAACTTATGAGAATTACCAGTTAGAAGACATCTACAATTGTGATGAGACCGCATTGTATTGGCAACTTCTGCCGTCGTCTTCTGGAATCAAAAAGTCAAGCAACGTATTACAATCTTATTATTAACCGTTAACGCTACCGGAAGTCATAAATTAAAACCGTTAATTATTAATAAATGGCAAACTCCAATATGATGCAGCAAAGTGGACGTCACATTCTTCTTTTAACCGATAACGCATCATGTCATTCTATTGGTTGATTCACTGAGCAATGTCATTTGCAACCTATGGACGCGGGGATTATTTACAGGTTTTAAGTTAGTACAAATTAACATTTTTGAAAGGTCATTATTTAACGTAATATCAATTTAAAGGTCAACTATCGTCGTCTTCTCTGTGAAAACCGTATCGATGCGTATGAGATGTTGCGTTAAATACGAGAAAAAAAATCCCCGAACTTACTATGGCAGAAGCAATCATATTAGCTGCAAGCGCGTGGAATAACGTTAATATCATAACAGTTGGAAAAAAACTCGGATACTGTCACAATCCAACATGGATATCGATAATGAAATGAATGCATTCTTTAATTTTAATGAAGAGAAGGAAGTTGCCAACGACGGCGCTAATATTCAACAAATCGAATACCGACTGACGAGAGAGATAATCGAAATGGTAAAGCATCCTGACGAACACGACGAACCCGAAGAGCCCGAAGAACAGTGTTCTATTGTCAAAAGCGGTGAAGCAGTTCACGGAGTAGACGTAATTACATTAGACAGCAGAACCAAGAGTTGGTTATCACACACGAAGAATTTAAAAACATTAAGAAAAAAAATACTCTTACATGCGAAGCGACAAGGCACCTTAGATTCTTTTCTAAGATAGAATAGTTATCTGAACAATTGCCATACTGTACTGCTGTATATAATAAAGAATTTTCGCTTGTTTATAATCGGGAATTTAGTTGCCAAGTCACACAGCTTGCCAGGTTGTACAGCCAATAATATTTCCATTTATGAAGGAGAGGCCAGCTGAGCATCCAATGAAAAAATAGTATTTGAGCTCGTACGACGTGGCAGGTAAATTCCTGATTATCAATAAAAAGAATGATCTGTGTGACTAACCGATCTACAGTTACGTAGAGATTGCATTTATAAACCCTGTTCGACACCGCGAACCATATTTAGGATATGAAGGTACGTTAGTTCGAAATTCGCAGTTCCATGTTTATCAACGCGCTTTTACTCTTGTTACTCGTTTCTAGCTGTTGTCACCTACTTTCGCAACGTGGATAGCTCCACTTGCAGCTATGCCGATTTCCTTTTTAACTTGCGGGACGTCATCTTGCAAGCTCCACCATATACTGAGGATTGGTCCGGACTCGACGGGCTATGGTATAAACGAATCAGGAGAGGCTAAGAAAAAGGTTTCAATACTATTCTGAAAGAATAAAGAGAGAGAGGGTGCTTCTGAGTCGTTATTATATGTGTAATATGTATTGAACGATTCAGCGGTTTTGCCGAAAATTTTCGGTACCCGAGTGATGACGGTGATGCGGTTCTGAGCTGTTATTATATGGTTCCCTATCGTATTGAACGGCTCAGAATTTTTGCCGAAATTTTTCGGTGCTCCCTCATTGCGATTTGCTTTATATTATGAAAAGGTTGTTTGTTGAGTATTAGCCACGTTTGATATCGTTGGTATTTTCTTCTTGCTAGCAACATCTGCATATTCCGATGAAATCATTTTTGAAGATATTATATTTGAACGCAAGAAGGTCAGCATAATTTATGTGCCGTTGCGTCGTATTTTTGGAGAAACGATGAATGTGTACATTATAACATTTTAAAAAGTAATAATGGTGTTCATTCATAACTTATGGACTTGTTAATTTTAATGCTCACTTTATCATACCAGAATAGGATAATTATAAACCATAACAAGATTAATATAGAATTACCTCTATATATAAAATATTAATATGAAACTAATTTACATTAATCTACCATGGAACCCAAGAATTACAGCACTATTAGAAGTATTTTAAAGAAAGCTCAAGTAGAGAAAATTACTCAAAATCAATGATACCCAAACTCTTCAGGAGTATCTAGATCAAGAAAAAGTTACTTATGAAATTTATCGAGAAGAACGAAAAATAATAAACAATAAACGAGCATTAACACCAACACATGATAAACCGACGAAGACTGGCTGAATAAACAATTAAATCATTATTAATCATCATCCTCTTCTACTTCTTCTAGTTCAGCAGGGGAGTTTCATCATTGAGCCAAGCAGTTTTCTTTTCCAGATGGCTCAACCAAGACTGCTTAGTAATAAAAGAATTTCTCCTCCAGCTGCTCAAGCAGAAGGATTATTAATTCTTCAGAAACCTTCTTGTTTATTATCCTCAAAAGGCTTTTCATATTGCTTCTTAGCATGATTTTGTCCACCTAACTTTTCCGCATAGTACTTTATGATTCCTTCTTCAGTAAATTCTTTCCCATTCCCATATTTAGATTTATCTAGCCTTTTGTCACCATCCTTATAATCTTCCATCTCTTTCAGGATTTGTTTTTTGAGATTACTATCTGCTTTGATTTCCTGTAAAGCAATTGTTTCCACCACTATTTCAGGGTCTTGGGTAAAGAATCAATCTAATACTAATCAATCTCGATTGTTGGCATTGGCATTTGGAAGATCGTAAGTATCATCTATTAATTAGAAAGGGTTTTTTTACAGTAGTCAATTATTGGAGCTTCGATTTTAGATCCCGGTTTATTAGCTTTATCGGCTAGTGCTTTAATTTCATCAGCCTTAACTTTAAAATCAACATTTTGGGAATAATTGATTCATTTTTTGGTTAATCCCGAAACACATTAGTTTTGACTCCTAAGGCAGCTTTAAGGTTCATCAGCATAATCCTCCTTTCGGGAAGAGTTGGACCATGCTTAAGATAGTGATCAATTCGGTCTAATTCATTTTCTTCCACTGGATTTAATCCTTGTCCCACTAATTCCGAAGAATCTTTGATACTTTCTAAATATCTCTTTACTGCTTCATCATTAAAGAATTTACCATCATCATTTTTTCAATGCTCTAAACGTTCAGTAAAGTAATTACCATGTCTAACTCAATTATTATATTTAGCTAGTTTATCTTGATCAGCAGTTTCAGCTGCATCTAATTTGGCTACTTCAGCATCAGTATCAAAGGTGGCATCCGTTTTTAATTTTTCTCACTTTTTAATCCAGCCCAAAATATTGTGCATAAATAATAACTCTCGATAAGATTTCTTTCCTGGTTTACCTCAAATAGTTTTGAATTGAGTTATTAAACCACTGACTCGATTTTTTTTAGCATTTTCTTTTACTTTTTCAGCTGCTTCTAATTCAATTCTGGCTTTTATTTTTTTAGAATTAATTTCAACTAGTTTACTTCATTTTTCACCTCATTTAGCCTTTTAGCATCAGTAATATTCAACCATTTATCTCATTTGTTGATCACATCATCAGTCACCTGGTCAACTCCACCTTCATACTATTTTATTAAATATTAACAGTATTTTTATCAAAAATAGAAATATTAT